ACTAACAATGAACAATCTGAGATGGAGATAGGAATCCTATTTACATAGCATCAAAAAGATACAATTACTTGGGAATAAAGATGTCACCAAGAAGGCAAACAATCTGTACACCAGAAAATAGAAAACACAGCTTAAAGAAATTAAAGATGGCACAAACAAATGGAAGCACATCCCAGGCTTATGAGTTCAAAGACTCTGTATTGTCCAGATGTCCATCTACCCAAAGCCATCTACATATTTAATGCAATCTCCATCAAAATTCTAATGACATTTTCCAGAAATAGAAAAGTCCATCAAGGGCTGGGATTGTGGCTCAGCGGTAGAGCACTCGCCTAATGTGGGCGGGACCTGGGTTCGATCCTCAGCACCACATAAAAATAAAGGCATTGTGTTGTGTCCATCTACATCTAACAAATAAATATTAAAAAAGAAAAGAAAAGAAAAAATCTATCAAAAAAATTGTATGGAATTTGAAGCATCCCCAGCGAACCAAAGAAGAACCATGTGAGAAGTCTCACACTTACGTTCAGAGCAATATCGTGCACAAAAGCCAAAAAGGGGAAGGAACCAAGGGTCCATCAACAGATGAACAGACAAACAAAACGTGGTATACATAGACAGAGAATATTATTCAGCCTTAAAAAGGAAGGCAATTCTGACAACACATCCTACAATATGGATGAAACTTGAGGACATCATGCTAAGTGAAATATGCTAGTCATAAAAAGATAAATATGGCCAGGCACAATGGCCTATAATCCTAGCAGCTTGGGAGGCTGAGGCAGGAGGATCATAAGTTTGAGGCCAGCCTCAGTAACTTATCAAGGCCCTAAGCAACTTAGCAAGACTCTGTCTTAAAATTTATTTTTTTTAAAAAAGATAAATACTGTATGATTTATATGAACTATCTAGAGTAGTTAAATTCATAGAAATAAAAATCAAATGGTGGTTTTAGCAACAGAGACAGAAAAATGAGAAATTTTTGTTTAATGGGTATAAAGTTTCAGTTTACAAGATGAAAAATTTGGTTGCACAATAAAGTGAATGTATTTAGCAGCATTAAGATACATACTTAAAAACAGCAAAAAGCCACACATGATGGCACAGACCTGTAATCCCAGTAACTCAGGAGGCTGAGGCAGAAAGATCACAAGTTCAAGGCCAGCTTTGGCAATTTAGCAAGACTCTGTCTCAAAATAAAATAAAAAGCCTGGGGATGTGGCTCAGTGGTAAAGAATCCCTGGGTTCAATCCCCAGTGTCAAAAAAATTATATGTATCTTACCACAATTAAATTATAATTAATATTCTCAGAGACATTAGAGTAAGTCCATGAAATAAGTATTGGCAGCAATAAAAATAATAAGAAATTGATTTTAGAAGTGAAAAATTTTTGGCTTATAAAGAAATTTTTGCTGGGTATGGTGGCATATGCCTGTAATCTCAGTGGCTCGGGAGGCTGAGGCAGGAGGATCTCAAGTTCAAAGCCAGCTTCAGCAACTTAGTGAGGCCCTAAGCAACTCAGTGAGACCCTGTCTCTAAATAAAAATATAAAAAGGGGTGGGGAATGTGGCTCAGCACCCTTGGGTTCAATCCCTGGTGTGTGTGTGTGTGTGTGGGGGGTGCTTTAAATAAAAAAAGATGTGGGCCAGGGACATAGCTCAGTGTCAGACCCTTGCAAGCTGAGGCCCGGGGTTTTATCCCCAGCACAAATCTAATAGAAAATCTGGAAGACAAAGTTGAGGTAGTGTCCCAGAAAATAGAACAAACTTTTTAAAATGGAAAATTAGAAAGAACATTTTAGAAAAACTGGAAGATGAATTCAAGATATCCACCTAAAATAGATCTGAAAGGAAAAAACAGAAAAGAGAAGATGGGGTGGAGGAAATAGGCACAAAGAGATCCCCCGCAAAAACTGATTTCCAAGACTAAAAGAAATTGATATCCCGATTAAAGGGCCCACCAGGGGCCCATACTCAACACACATCACTAGGAAACTTGAGAGCTCTAGAAGAACCTAGAAACTTCCAGGGAGAAAAGCCATGTCATTCATATAAGACCAGGCATCAGAATGTCATTTGACTTTTTATCTTTATTTATTCATTTTGCAAGGCTGGGATCAAACCCAGGTTCTGTTGGAGAACTGGAGGATGAATTAGTGATAGGTACCTAAGAAAGTTTTGTTTAAAAAAAATGAGGCAATTAGTAACTTCTGGAAAGGAAAAGTCATCCAATAAGGGAAACAATTTTGACACACAGTATATACTTAGTCATGATCATTAAGCGCTGAACACTGTTTCAACAAAAACAATAAAATGTTCTAACTAAACTAGGAAGGAGGGAGGAAGAAAAATATGTGTGATGGAGGGTAGACAAAAGAGCAATCACCATCACCTACTGTAACAGGGAGGCAATAAATAAAGATTTTTAAACTGGAAAATCTGGCTGGGTGTGGTGGGGCACAGCCATAATCCCAGCAGCTCAGCAGGCAGAGGCAGGAGGATCACAAATTCAAGGCCAGTCAGTCTCAGCAATTTAGGGAGGTCCTAAGCCATTTAGCAAGATCCTGTCTCAAAATAAAAAATAAAAAAGGCTGGGGATGTGGCTCAGTGGTAAAGCACCCCTGGGTTCAATCCCCAGTACCAAGGGAAAAAAGAAAGAAAACAAACTGAAAAAAAGAAAAAAAAAAAATCTAACTGCATACTAGTCTATGAAGTGGTGATACCTTGTGCAAGCTTTTCCGGTGGATGCACTGAGGGAAAGCTTAACAAAGGAGATGGAAGCCCACCCCCTTCCCGTGGCCAGACCAGTTTTTTTTAACCACCCAATACAAAGGATGGTAGTCCCAAGGGCAGCTGAGCCCTATAAGGGAATAGGTTTAGGAAAAGAAGAGCAGACCATTCAAGATCATGTTCAGCAGAGTGAGGGGTCCAGGAGGATGCAGCCAACTGAGGATGGGGAGGAGAGAACACAGGCCCAGGGGGCCAGAGGAGTCGTTAACAATGTCTCAGAGAAGCAACAGATAGGAGCAAAGTGATTAGAGGGGAGGCCCCAAATCCCCAGGCCCAGACAGAAGGCCAGCAAATTCAAGGCCACCTTTGGGAAAGAGAGAAGAGAAAGATTAATTAACATCAGCAATGTCAAATGCTGCTTTTTTGGTCAAGGGGTCTTAACCTAAAAACAGACTACAGCCCTTGTCACCTCCTGGGTTTTCAATGACACCCCACCCAGAGGTTTCTTCCAAAAACCAATAGAAACAGAAGCCACATCCCAGGATTAATGACCTTAGGACCAACTAGGGAGAGAGAGGGAGAGAGCAGGGATTCCATGTACAGTGCACACCTGCACATTCCCTCTCTAGTCCTCTGGTAGGGAGGAGGGTTAGGGTTGCCAGATTAAATACAGGCAATTCTCAGGACATACGTATACCATGTGGTTTTGTTTGTTTGTTTATTGCTTATTTATTTATTTTGGTAGGAGGACTGAACTCTGGGGCACTCGACCTCTGAGCCACATTCCCAGCCCTACTTTGCATTTTTTTTTTTTTTTTTTTAGAGACAAGGTCTCACTAAATTGTTTAAAGCCTAAATTGCTGAGGCTGGCTTTGAACTCCTGATCCTCCTGTCTCAGCCTCCCAAGCTGATGGGTCCTGCTCTACCTTTTTTTTTTTTTTTTTAATTGTCATATAACAATTAACTCTAGCAACTCTAAAGAGGTAACACCATCCTCTGGGCAAAAGCTTGGTGACTTTGCCTCTGGACACTGCCACCAGCCTCTGGCCATTGCAGGGACAAAACTCCCAGTGGCAAGGTCAGGAAGGAGGGCCCAGGCAGGACGAGGCAGAATTTTTCAATGAGCAGACTCTCAGGTCAAAACTACATGAAGTCTTTTCCCTGAAAGGTTTTGGTTGGGTGGATGTCTCCATCGGTCAAAGAGGCAGCTCGGGTACCCTGAGAAGCACTTCCATGACCCCCAGCTTTGCTGAGCCTGTACCCTTCCTGGGAAGTCAGGTCACATCTTGGGAACCGTGGAAGACTTTTCTGTCCTTATATGAATTTTTACCACAAGCGTGTATTACTTTTATAATCAGCAGAAGGCAATGAAGACGTGACCGTGCTAAAGATGAAATGAGTCTGCCCTGGACCAGATCTTCCGTGGGGCAGCCTCCAAAGCAAGTCATTTCTGGTTCTTTATTTGCACCTCCTTTTGGAAGCACTCAGCAGCCCCATAGTGGTTTGTCCTTTTACTTTTATTCCCCTGGGTGTGTGTGGGGGGAGGGGGGGTGGTTCTGAGCCCAGCCACTCACCACTCCTGCCTGCAGGCACAGGATGATCGACCAATCTAGTCACTGCCCCCACTCTCAGATTTCTCTGGGTTTGGCTTGCTCTGAATTCAGTCCATGTCCAGACCTGGGCTCACTTCTAACCTGGAGGACATCCAAGATGACCTGTTCAGAAGCCAGAGTAGGAGCTTGAGTGTTGACTGCGTGGGACCACAAGGCAGTGGGATGACGGAGCCCACATGGGACCAGTCCTGGGATTCTAGGGAGCTTGTGGCTTAACAAATTCTGCAAGTGGGGAAAGTGTCCCCACACCCAGAGATAGCCAGCTGTCTTTTAGTACACTAGAGCCCCTCCCTAGTAAGAGCCAACCGCTTTCCCTTAGGGAGTTCCAGGGGAAGATGGCCAATGTCCCATCCATATGGTGGACTCATAGAAGGGTGAGAGTCTGCTCTTGGGTCCCCAGGGCCTAGATGGAGCCTTTGATCTACTTACTACCAGCCCTGTGACCTTGGGCCAATCAACTAACTGAGCCTGGGTGTCCTGAGGATTAAATGAGATAATGAATGCTAAACACCTGGGAACACATAAGGAGTTCACAAATAGGAGTTTATCTATTTAATCTTCAGAGAGCCCAGAGGCTGCACTTTGACCAGAGGGAACATTTCATCTGCCAGTCCCACAGACCCAGGATTGTTCTGAAAGGTTCCCCTCACCCTCAAAGAGTACACCTTCCCTGCTTCTGTCCAGGCGACCAGATGCTGGAGCAGTGACGGCCTCTACTCCAGTGCAGCAGCCTGGCCCACGACCTTGGAGGAACCTGGGAGAAAGCTTCACCAAGCGACAGTACTTTTCCACTGCACTGCTCGGCCACCTCTGCTGGCTTTGTGCTGTGCAGACCGGAGGTAAAGTGCACAAGGCCGGCCCCATCAGGAACCCATCCCATCAGAAAGCCACCCAAATCCTATTCTCAGGGATAGGGATAGGGACCTGCTGTGGATGAGGAGCGGGAGGAATTCTAGAAAGAGGGGGTCTCCGAATATGCCACGGGGGGAGGGGGCAAGGATCCCACTAGAGAGGCCAGAGAATTTGCATCGTTAAAGTCATCCATAGCATATCCAGGGATTCCTAATGCTTTACCGCCCCTCCGTCCTCACCCCTCTCATAATAATAATTAAACCCTTTCTGCCGCGCCTGTGCCGGGTCCCGGGCAGCGCGAGCTTGTGCTGGGGGAAGGGAAAGAGGAGGGCGAGGGGTGGGGACAAGAGAGCTAGCGGTCCCGCCCGGTGATGTAGGCAGCCCGGGGAGGTGGAGCCGCGACGCCTGAAGGAGTCCCCACCGCAGCCGCGCTCTAGGTCTACCCCACCGAGCAGCTGCCATCCCCGGCACCGGCGACCTCCCTTGCCGCCGCAATTTGGGCGGCAGGGACCACGGGAATCCCCTCTTATTCGGGCCTGGGGGGGCGTCCGCCAATCCCAGTCCCTGCCCCTCCTTGCTTCCCAGACGGCTGGAGCCATTCCCGGGGGACGCTATTCCCGGCCGCACGCCGCCGCCCGGGCATCTCGGCGGCCAGCCCGGCTGGGCAACGGGCATCTGAGAAACTAGCCCCGCCTGGCACTGGGCATCTTGGGCACCGGCTGTCTCTGGCGCCGCCCAGCTTTTCGCGACTACAGGGCGGTGGGCTTCTGGGCGCTTTTCCTTCCCTGGGTCGCTGGACAGGACGCTGGTGAGCTCCCTGCGCCTCCAGCCCCCTGCGCCGCGATGCTGCCCTGGAGGCGAAACAAATTCGTGCTGGTGGAGGACGAGGCCAAGTGCAAAACGAAGAGCCTGAGCCCGGGGCTCGCCTACACGTCTCTCCTCTCCAGCTTCCTGCGCTCCTGCCCGGACCTGCTGCCCGACTGGCCGCTGGAGCGCCTGGGCCGCGTGTTCCGCAGCCGGCGCCAGAAAGTGGAGCTCAACAGGGAGGACCCGACCTATACGGTGTGGTACCTGGGTAACGCCGTCACCCTGCACGCCAAGGGCGACGGCTGCACCGACGACGCGGTGGGCAAGATCTGGGCGCGCTGCGGGCCAGGCGGGGGCACCAAGATGAAGCTGACGCTGGGGCCGCACGGCATCCGCATGCAGCCGTGCGAGCGCAGCGCCGCAGGGGGATCTGGGGGCCGCAGGCCGACGCACGCCTACCTGCTGCCGCGCATCACCTATTGCACGGCGGACGGGCGCCACCCGCGTGTCTTCGCCTGGGTCTACCGCCACCAGGCGCGCCACAAGGCCGTGGTGCTGCGCTGCCACGCCGTGCTGCTGGCGCGGGCGCACAAGGCGCGCGCCCTGGCCCGCCTGCTCCGCCAGACCGCGCTGGCGGCCTTCAGCGACTTCAAGCGGCTGCAACGCCAAAGCGACGCGCGCCACGTGCGCCAGCAGCACCTCCGTGCAGGGGGCGCCGCCGCCTCGGTGCCCCGCGCCCCACTACGCCGCCTGCTCAACGCCAAGTGCGCCTACCGGCCGCCGCCGACGGAGCGCGGCCGCGGGGCGCCGCGCCTCAGCAGCATCCAGGAGGAGGACGAAGAGGAGGAGGAGGACGCGGAGTCGGGCGAGGCTGGAGCCCCCCAACGCGAGCGGCCCGAGGTGCTCAGCCTGGCTCGGGAGCTGAGGACGTGCAGCCTGCGGGGCGCCCCGGCGCCTCCGCCGCCCGCGCAGCCCCGCCGCTGGAAGGCCGGCCCCAGGGAGCGCGCGGGCCAGGCGCGCTGAGAGCCCAGGGGCCGGACTCGCCGCCCCAGACCGGGCCGCCAGACTTACTGCCTCCAACCCCGGCCCTGCCCGCTTCGGCTCCCCGCTGGTCCCTGGCCCTGCCGCCCTTGTGGTCTCGTCCTCGCCTCGCCCTTCATCCTGGCTCAGGGTGACACCTGATATGCCCTGGGTTATTGGGGGGGGGGCGTGTTCACTTCCCTGCAAACCCAGAGTTTCCTGGGCCCTCCGTTGGGGAACTGCCCTTGCGCTTTACACCGAGTCTGTGCCCACAGACCTCCCTGCTTCCAGCCAAAACATCCTCTCAGGAGAAGGGAGAGAAATTTTCAGAGACCATGGATGGTGGGTTTGGACCCTGACCAGGGTGGAGGCAGTGGCCCTGCCCTAGGTCCCCCTAAACTTTTTCCCCCGTGGTAAGAACCATCCTGGAGAGGCATTCTTGTAGGGAAAGAATGGAGTGACTGGGGGAAACTGAGGCCAGGCCCATAATGGGCACAGCGTCTGCAGGTCAAACTAACGTGGAAGAATTCTCTGCCTTGTGTGGGGCCTCTCTATGCCTTGGAGGACTCCTGGGACTTCACTGCTCTGCCTCTGGAGAAGACAGACTGGGCTGGTAACAGCTCTGCACCAAGCAGCTGCCAGAGCTTGTGCCTTGGCACCCCTAAGGATTCCGCACTCCATCTACAGACAGATAAGTAAGGTCCCCCACTAGGTGCCAACAGCCAGGACCAAAGATGGGGCCTCCAAAGGAGGTAAGAAGAACCATTGGCTGGTGTGTGGGGATGCAGGTGCTGGAGGAGAGATGCCCCAAGTCAAGGCTCTGGGCAAGTAGTCCTAACTGCAGCTGGATTCACATGGCAGGCTGAGGAAGGAGAGCGTGCTACCCCAACACAGGGAGGTGTCTCTACAAGGCCACAAACAAGCCCAAAGATCTGTGTTACCAACTGATCATTGTAAATAAAGTGGATCTGCTTTTTCAGCCCTGTCATCCCTCCTGTCTTGTGTTTGATGCCAGGCCGCAGGGGGTGAGGTGGTCCTCAGGACCCAGCAGGGCAGGAGGAGACCCAGGAAGTAGCTCCTGTAGCTGGCTGGAGCCAGCTGCCGGGTTTGGGGTGGGGGCTGCTGTCAGGAAGCTGTTCCTTTAATGTCAGGGGAGAGGCATATGCTGCGTCTGAAAACCATTGAGCCAAGCCCTGGAGGAGCCTCGGCTTCCCACCATGTCTGTACACTGGGCACTCAGACGCAAGTGTCTCTGGGACATTTGGCAGGAGGGGGCACTGAGCTGAGTGAGGGCTTCTCATGAGCCATGTATTTTCAAGACGTTTCATGAGTAAGTCACAATATGTAGTATAGACTGTGTGTCCCTGCAGGAATGAGAGGAGGCTTATGGAGGAGGGTTGGCAACCCAGTTTTCTTTTGAGAGGACTGGAGAAATCTGTGCAGACCTTTGTGATGGAGTGAATCTTGAGCTTGGATATCTTCTTTATTCCTGTGCTGAGCTGGGCACTGAGCCCAGGGTGAACCACACGGGTGGCCTCTGCCATCACCAGTGATCAGAATGATTCTGTTTCCCGGAGCTGCCAGGACAGAGGGTACCACTGTCACCTCACTCCAGTGGAACCCTCTCAGGGTCAGGGGGGCTTTGAAGAGGAAAGCAGGGGCTGACTACATCGGGGGTAACGAGGACCCACTTGGCAAGGATGCTCATTGCTTCCCTTGGGGTTTTGCCGAGGCTTTTCTGATGTTTTCCCCACTTGCAGGAGGAAAAGTAAGGTGTCAGACCTGGAGAGGACCACGGGCTGCAAGGCAGCCTCTTGGATTGGCCAAGAGGCCCATGCACATGCACGCAGCCCATATTTACTAAAGCACCTGCCCTGCAGCAAGCACCATGCTAGGCCCCTAAGTCCTCTCTGCAGGGTCTCACTTTCTTGAATGAAGTGTGTAGATTAAATGGGTAGTTGCTGATAATCATTCACAGAATTGCTGGGCACAATGGCACATGCCTATAATCCCAGAGGCTTGGCAGGCTGAGGCAGGAGGATCACAAGTTCAAAGCCAGCCTCAGCAAAGGCGAAGCGCTAAGCAACTCAGTGAGACCCAGTCTCTACATAAAATACAAAATAGGGCTGGAGGTGTGGCTCAGTACCCCAAATCATCATCATAACTCACAAACCCGTGCCCAGCCTCTGCCCCTGCTACTTCACTTTTCTCCTCTGCGACCTCCAACGTAGACATGCGTGCATGCACGCACACTCGGCCTCTCCCTCCCTCACTCAAGCTACACTCACCAGGCCTGGAATTAAAATGTCTGTAAGTCATTTTGCTGGCCACGTCTCCATTCTTATTGTGTAGAGTGGAAAGAGAACCTGGCCCCACAGCGCTCCTCCAGGGGGCTGCAGTGAGACAAGCCGGCAGGCCACAGGGAGGGGTGTAGGGAGCCATGCACATGCCATCCTTGATTGCTCTCGGGCTTTCTCCTCCAACCTAGACACAGGGCAGAAAAGAGCCCCAAAGTAGCAATCAGGGGGCCTGGCGCCCCTGTGTCTCCTCCTGGCTTTCCTTCATCCCTGTGGAATGAGATTGGGAGTGGGCTAGACCAGTGGTTTTCAACCCACACTCCTTGAGTTCTAGATTTCCCAGGAGCTCCTGTGGGGAGCCACGGGGAGATTGAATGGGAAGGCTCCCCCACCAGGCTTTAACTAGAGCAGTCCGTTTTCTGCTTGGGGATTCTGTGATTTGGAAAAGAATAAAGATTTTTTCTTTTTTTAAATCACGGGATGGATGCTTTGTAAACTCCCTTCCAGCCCTGAGGCTCTGAGGTCTGTTGGTTGTTGGAGATGACTGCTGGAGCATGTAAGGCAAGCTCACACAAGGCAGCGGGAGCGAGAGGCGTGCATCCAGCCATCCACAGCACGAGGTCAAGACTCCTGGGACGTGTGGGACCTATCTCTGTCTCTTCACTTTGGAGGGACTGGACTGCAACTGTTGTAGCATGCCCCAGCACAGTCAGCTGGCCCACCTACCAACCATCCTGCATCCTGGCTCTCCACCCAGTTCATCTCCCACCCTTTCCCTGCCCTCTGCCTCCAGAATGGCTCCCTTATTGCTATACATCACCATCTCGGTATCTCTGGGCCTTTGCACATGCTGTTCCCACTACCTGGAGCCCTTTCCTTTAGCTATACATTTTCAATCCTACCCTTCCCTCAAAGTCCAGCTCCACCTCCTGGAAACTTGCTTTAATGCATTTGCCTCTTGCACTCCTACCAAATCTGGGGGTGGTCTCTCCCTGTGGCTTTTCCCATGGCCCTCATGACCTTCTACCTTGACTTACTTTTTTTTTTTTAGTTGTTGATGGACCTTTATTTTATTTATTTATTTTTATGTGATGCTGAGAATTGAACCCAGTGCCTCATGCATGCCAGGCAAGCGCTCTGCCACTGAGCCTCAGCCTCAGCCCCAGCCCTGACTTACTCTTTCAATGTCAGTGTCTTCTCTCTCCTACTGATCACCTTCATTTCCCGCTTCCTCCAGTACCTGATCCTCAGCAGGGTGGAGAGCTGGTGCTCGGTAATCATTTGCTGAATGAATAACTGAATGAACGGCCAGCTGGAAGAGCCGTCGTGGGCTAGGAAACCAAGTGGGTGGAGGAGCGTTTCCTCTGCCAAGCTTCTGCCTGGGGATGCTGAGGGAGAGCTGTCCTCAGACGCCCTGCGCAGACGGGTGGCTTCCTAAGGAGACCAGCCCCAAGGCCAGGGTTCCCAGGCTCTGTTCTGCTTCAAAGCCTCACGACTGGGTCCTGTTGCTCTCTGGGCTTGTCCAGGCCACACGGAGCCGACTCTCCAAATGCGGAGCCGCTCCTGGCAATGACAGCCACCCTCCAGACACACTGGCCAGGGCTGCGCTCGGGGCAGGTGGTGGGAGGACATCTGGACAGATGTAGTCTCTGTTTTAACACGCAGGCAGCCAAACCCAGGCTGGGGCCAGACGAGCTGAGTGCCAGTCCCATCACTGCCACTTGATGGCTATACGACTCCAGGGAGTGGGTAAGGTGACATCTTGGGTGGTTGGAAGAATGAAGTGAGGCTTTGTATTTAGATCGTTTATTTAGCCCAATGTACAGAGTAAGTGGTGGTTCCTGCGATCCTGATTGTTATCATTTTATCCAGAAGTCTCCTAAAATAGATCTGGAGTAAGGAGACCAGGTACCTGGTCTTTGGAACAAATATGTTGTTCATGCCCCATCTAAAATCCCTGATGTCTCCACGCCACGTTGGAAGACTCAACTCCAGCTAGCCTTAGAAGCAACTCGTCTCCGGTTATTCAACTTACAAAGGCCTGGTTGCGTTAGACTAGATCGAGTCCAATAACTTCTACTTCTCAGATAACCTTTTTCTCCTCAGCACCCAGCACAGTGCCAGGCACACAGTAAGCACTCCGGTGAATGAATGAGGGAGCAAGGGAAGGATTAGCTGCTGCTGGCCACGGTGCTCCCAGCCCCAGCCTTCAGCTAGCAGGATGCTATTTGTTTATAAGTAATGGGTCAGCTTCCCTTCCTGGTCGCTGTTCAACCCGAACTCAATTAAGGAGAAAAAGAAGATGCTTCAGTCAAGGAAAAGGACACCCGAAATGGATTAAGGGGGCTGGCCTGCAGTTCTGGCCAGTCTCTGAGCCAGACCTGTCCCCTCTCACCCTCTGTGGCCCTTGCCTGTCCTCAGAGCACATGTGGGCTCATCAGCTGACCCAGAGGCCCTGAGCCAATCAGCACTTCAGGATCAGAAGGAGATTGGGGTAGGGGTGCAGCAAGGGCCAGAGAGGAGGATGGAGTCCAGGCCATCATAAAGGAGACCCCAGCTGGACAGCCTGGGCCAACGCTCTACATGCAGGGAACGCTTGACCAAGAGGACCAAAGGAGTTCGGCTGCAGAAAGCACAGGAGGACCCTGGGTTGCCTCCCCTGCACCCATTCATTCCCCTTTTGCAGTGGACACTGCTCCCTCTTCCTCCCACATCCCCCTAGCTCCGGTCTCCCCTCTTCCCAGGCTGGGCCGTGGGATTCTGGCCAACAGAATCACGTGCTCCCCTCTCAGGCCTGCATCGGAAAAAACACGATCATTGCTTTATCCTCCAGCCTGTCTGCTGCATGTCATCACCTAGGGTGTCCTTGGGAGCCCCTGTTGAGGGTGACAGAGTCCTTACCAGCTCTGTGCCTGCCAACAATAGGAACAGAATTCCCCATTTTACTGTGTTGGGTGGCAGGCTTGGGGGTTGTTTATTGTGACAGGTGGCTTCCCTTGACTAACACAGCCTCCTTGTAACCCGCTCCTCCTGCGTACCTGATGAAGCCATCCATTCCCTACTCTCAATCCCTGCTGTCTCCACACCAGTTCCAGAGAAGGACATGTGACACAGGCCCGACAGATCGCAATATCCCATCTCCTTCAGCACAGATGTTAGTTCAGAGAAGGCCATGCATCCTGGTCAGAGCTGGTGGGACTCAGTTCTGGGACTTTTGATGAAACAGGGACTTTAGGGAAAAGAGATGCATGCTTTGTGCTGGAGTTGCTGAGAGAGTGGGAGGCATGTCTAGTGCTGTTGGCAGCCATCTTGCTCCCATGAGGAGAGAGCACCTGAGGAAGAGGGCAGCACAGTGAAAAGCAGAACAGGAGACAGAAAAAGCAAGGCCACGTCCCACAGCGTTGCTGAAGCCCCTCCATCCCACCCAGCCTGCCCAGGTCTGGAGTTTTCAGTTCCTTGAGACAGTAAATTGTACTTTGTGCTTAGGCCAGTGTGGGTTGGGCTTTCTACCCCTTGTGTCTGGGAGCAACCTGTCCCCACCATTGCTGTTCTCATCACCCGACTGTAGGACATCCAGCCAGCTCAGAGAATCCAGGGGTCCCCAGGACCTTTCTCTTTCTGGGACCACCTGGCCTTCCATCACAGCTGCCCTTCGTGTACCTTCCCAGGCTCCTTAGTGGAC